TCCAGGGCTCAAACAGTGAGGGGTCAGGTGGGAATCCAGTGCCCTAACCACCATGCCTCCTGCTGATCTCCACGTGTGTCTTACTAGCCAAACAGACCTGCTAGGGTGAGAAAGTATTTTATGCTGAAGTCAGTGGGTTTGTTTGTTCCTGGGATCAGGCAGATTGTTGGGTTGAGAAGGACTCACAAGAGGCACCCCAACTGATGCCCCCAGTCTCTAGTCCAGAACACAGCAAAGTAACCAGTTCATTTGGGTTTCTGAGGTTCTGCTAGCTCCCTCAAACACTCACCCGTGTCTGTCACTGCCTTTCAGGCAAGAATTCCTATACTTGGTCCTACACCCAGCAAACGGAACCTATTACCTTTTGTCCTTGTCAAACACATGCTGCATGGAATTAGAGAGAAGAACACATGTCCAAGTATATAGAAGAACTGGGTCAAACTAAAGGGCTGATACTCTTTAAAACAGGGGAGAAAGTTGGATATGGCATTGAGGCTGACCCGCTGGGAGACTGCTAGGTTGCCACTGTGAGTCATTACTGCTTTAGAAGAGAAGAGGTGGGGCATGACCATGGATCTCAGCGATATTCAGTTGCACAAGGGACTTCATCCCGATGCTCAGGCAGGAGCGCCCCGCACTACCTCCCCCGCTCCACCACCACCTGAAGACACTTTCAGCTCCACACTGACACCTTGTGGCTACAGGGCGAACTGAGGGCAGTTTTGTTTGCTTTTTCTGTTTATGCTCCTGCCCTATCCCTTCATTCAAGGAGACCACATTTTAATTTTATTTTGCACATTCTGGTATCATAGCCCCTAGAAAACAAAGATGTCCAGAAATGCCCTAGCTGTTAAAGAGTTTTATTTGTCAATTTCAACTACGTTTCTGTGTTCCTGACACAGAGGTGCCTGCTGCAGCTGGGCTGAACCTATGACCTCCGGATGGAAAAGAGACCTATTTACATACACAGCACAGACCCGTTGCCTGTTCTGCCTCTCCTTCACCTCCTGCGCCTACATGTTTTTTATTTTCTTTTTTATACTTCTTTTTTTTTTTTTTTTAGGTTTTTGTCATAAGGTGTGTGCACTTGCTGGAGAGGAGAGAGAGAGAAAAATTCAGAGAGATGGAAAGTGAGAAATCACCTCCCCCCCCCAGGGAGGATGGCCACACTGCAATCCCTTCTCCTTCCTTCTCCTCTTGGGGTTTTGGACATGCACGCACATGTGCCCAGCATGATTTTCAAGAAATTGGGTCCAAGACTCAAACCATGGTCAGCCATATACGAATCCAGCGCCTCAACTACCACACCACATGCTGGTCCCTCCTACATGGGTTTTAAGGGACGATAGTATTTGCTTCACAGTCCACAGGATGGAATAAATATTTTGCACAAGGCAGCCCAGAGACAGTGTTGTTCAGTTTCACCTGGGATTAGCCATCAGCAACTGGACGGGCCCCAGAAAGCACAGGGCCTTCTTCTTGCTTCCCACAGGGGCCTGCCTCCTTGAACTCTATTCCAGGCCCTTCTGCTCACCAGGGCTGTCCGTGCAAACTTCCTAGATGTCCCACGAAGGCTGTCATTCATGGATCCAAGCAAGATCCCACCATTTCCTTCAGGAACTTCCTGGAATGGGCTCTCAATTGGCCTTAACATAAGACAGAACCAGTTTCCTGGGATGATTAAGTGTAGCCTTTCCCTGGGGAGAGCAGTGAGGGCCCCGGAGCCACACTAGTATTCCCCTTTGCAGTGCGGAACAGTACAAGAGTGGTAAGAGGGGTGCTTGAGGGGTCAAAGAGGATATCAGAAAGGTGCCTTCCTTAGTCAACCTTGACCTCAACTCTCCTCTTTTCCTCTCTGGACAGGAGACCGTCCTGGGCCCAGAGCTCTGGAAGTCACCTGCCAGGTGAGCTCTGGAGCTGGGCAGGCATTATCTTCCCTAACAACAGTGGAGTGTTTCCACTTTAAGTGTTTCGTCTACAGCCTTTAAATCCCTCCTGGCAAAGTGGGCATTGCTGTTTCTGTTTAATGAGTGAGGAAAGTGTTGCTCAGAGAGATTGGATAACTTGCTCAGGTTCATGAAGGTAGAAAAAGGTGAGATGAAGCCGAAGCCTGGGTTATGGGGGTGGTGGGTTATGGACAGCTGGTGTCCCTTCTACCTCCCATCATGATGACCAAAGATTGACTTAGCACCTACCACTCTAGACACTGGGGTTAGAGCTATGGTCTGACGGCGGGGCGTGGAGGTAGAGTAGGCAGCTGCTTAGTCAAGCAGGGAATGGAGCATTTCATCCGCTCTGGCTGGCACAGGAGCCTCCTAAACCCAGTACCTCTGGGCGGATGGACAGGGAAGAAGTGGTTGGATCTGGGGCAGACATAGGCAACAGAACCCAGTGGATGGAGACTGTAGGTACCCCCATCTGCCTGGAGCCTTGGCCCATGTCCCACTGTCCAATTCTCTAGACCTGAAGGGCTGGGATGCTTGCTTACCTAGAACACTCAGCAATTTCCTGGGAGAAAAGGCCTAAGAAGGCTTCTTAGGGGTGGGTGGCCTCTTAAAGACCTATATCCGCAGAGCTGTATCAGTCCTTAAAGTGTCCCTGGGAGTAGGGTGCAGAAGGTGTATCTGTCCCGTAGAGTTTTCTTCAAGAACTCTTAATTAGCTCAATCATTCCTTAGGTTAGCCTAGAGCTCATGGGTTTACACACTCCGTTTACAGCCGCAGCCCTATGTGACCTGATAATGAGATAGCAGGGATTAGCCGGCATACTGACGATGGTCACTGGGGTTGGCAGGACCAGAAGCCAGCTCTCCTGGCCTTCCAGCTGATGCACTTTTTATTTTATTTTTTAAATATTTGCTATAGGGCACATGAGCTAGCCAGATAGAGACACAGAGAGGGAGGGAACATGAGAAAGAATCCCTCAGGAGGGTGGCCACCCTGCAGTCCCATCTCCTTTTCTCCTCTTGGTATTTTGAGCATGCACGCACGTGCACCCAGCGTGCTTTTCAAGCCACCAGGTCCAGGCCTTGAATCACACAGTGGGCAATGGGGATCCAGCTGCCTTAACCCCACACCATGACTGGCCCAGCTGATGCTCTTCCCACCGTGAAGCTGCCTCTCAAACTAGAACCAGAGAAGGCCGTGGGGGAGCTACCCAGGCTAGAAGTCCCAGTGGGGATAATGAGTAGGAACTGAGAAAAGATCCCACCTTGCCCTGCTGTCTCTCCTGGCCTTGGGTAGGGGGGTTTACACCGAGAACTTAGACCAAAATGGATGGTCAGTATGGCCACGGCAGGATGCGCCACCACCAGACTTGAATCAAAGGGTGTAAGTGTCATTGTCATGAAAACCTAACAAGTCTTCCAGAGCCTGTCGGTCAGGACACCTGTTGTATGTCTACACTGTAACACCATTTCCAGTCTTGCAAAAGTTAGCGCAGGGAAAGACCACAACGGAGACTGAGGCCTGGAGAGGGGAGGTGACTCGCTTATGGTCACGCAAATGTCTGAAGGCAAAGCTGAGATTCCAATCCTGGGTTCTCGACTTGATCACAGCATCCATATAATTTGTCGTGGAAGTTCTAGAGAGCCTCAAGGATGTCCAGAGCTATGATCGCAGTACCTCTATCAAAGGATGCCTCCTCCATGCAGCCCCAGAGCACGAAGCAGTCTGGATCCCCTTGAGGGGATGGTAGAGCAACCAGTCCCTGCTGCCTCTGAGGCTTATTCTTGTTCTTAATTTTAGTGTGACCATTTTCATCTTCTCCTTTCCTTCCCTCTTTCTCCCCATTCTCACCCCCAGTGGGCTGTTCCACTGAGGGCTACAGCTCTCCCCGCTGCCATCCTCCCTAGAAGACCTAGCATTTGCAAGGCTTTTTCTATGGCAGCTACCAGGTGCTGGGCTCCATCCTGTGCCTCCATTCGGCTGTCAGGAGATGGGAGGGCATAGCAGAAGCCCCACATACCCACTCACCTCTTAAATTAAACCATCTCCCCTCTCCCCAAAACAACCTAGGATCCAAACAGGACCCTCCCCACCAGCTTTCACGTTTCCCCCTCCTGGTTGGGATGAGATGTGCCAGTCAGGCTGGAATGGGAACATGTGGCCAAGGCACCAGACCAGCTCCTGTGTAGCCGTGGACCCACACACAGTGCCATTCTTGGCCTGCCCAGGTCCAGGGCACCACATCCACTGCCAGCGCATGTCCAGGGACACCCTGTCCATACAGCAGAACCAGGGCGACAGCAGATTCATTCTCCATGGCTCCTGGCCTCTGAGACCAGGAACTATCCATTAGGGAAGCTGACCTCAAGGGTAGGGGTAGCCATTCCAGCCTCTTCACCCTGCCTCAGCCTGGGCCCCCCTAACTCCCACTCTGACCCTCCCGAGTCTTACACCCAGTGCTGGCATGGGCAGAGATCCTCTGCTAGGCTTGTAGACAGTATCAGGCCTCAGGGCATCTTCTCTAAAAGACGCCAGTCTCGGTGGTGGCCTCCCCATCGCCCAGCTCTAAGTCCTTCAGGGACTCTTCAGGGCCCGGCTTCCCACTGAGGCTGAGGCTTAGGTGGAGGCTGAAGGTGGGCGGGCAGCTGCCGTGGCTCAGCAGCGTGGTGGTGCGGCGGGCGGGG